AAAATCTTCCTCCTGCTGGAGCAATAAAGTGAACTTTTTCTGGCATAGGAATGAAGTAAGCTGTGATGGAAAATTCATGTGTGGGAGCGCTCCCCCCTACAGGGCTTCCCAACTCTATTCTAAATAAAATTTCCCTTTATTAATTTTCACACATCCAACAGGAACAGAATACACATTCTTCTCAAGCATACACAGAACATTCTCCAGGATAGATCATATGTTAGGCCACAAAACAAGTGAAGAAATTTAAGAAGACTGAAATCATATCAACCACAATGGTATAAAACTAGAAATCAATTTTAAGAATAAAGCTGGAAAATACACAAATACATAGAAATTAAACATGTTCTTTTTTTTTTTAATGATTTTATTTATTTATCTGACAGAGAGACACAGTGAGAGAGGGAACACAAGCTGGGGGAGTGGGAGAGGGAGAAGCAGGTTTCCCGCGGAGCAAAGAACCCGATGCGGGGCTCGATCCCAGGACCCGGGATCATGACCTGAGCTGAAGGCAGAGGATTAACAACTGAGCCACCCAGGCGCCCCTAAACAACATGTTCTTGACCAACAAATGGGTCAAAGGGAAATAGAAAAACATCTTGAGACAAACGAAAAAGGAAACATACCAACACTTTCGGGATGCAGCAAACGCTCTTCTAAGAGGGAAGTTTATAGCGGTAAATGTCTACATTAAGAAACAAGAAAGAGCTCAAATACAAAACCTACCTTTACATCTCAAGGAACTACAAAAAGAAAAACTAAGCCCAAAACTAGCAGAAGGAAGGAAATACAAAGATTAGAGCAGAAATAAATGAACTAGAGACTAAAAAGACAATAGAAAGATCAATGCAACTAAGAGCTGGGTTTTCTGAAAAGATAAGCAAAACCCTTGGCTAGATTAACCAAGAAAAAAAAAAAGACTCAAATAAAAGTATAAATAAAAGAAGAGACACACAACTATACCACACAAGTATTATTATGAGCAATTATACCCCAACAAACTGGACGACCTAGAAGAAATGGATAAATTCCTACAAACCTACAACCTACCAAAACTGAACCATGAATAGAAAAATCTGAAGAGACTGGGGCGCCTGGGTGGCTCAGTCCGTTAAGCGTCTGCCTTCAGCTCAGGTCATGATCCTGGGGTCCTGGGATCGAGCCCCGCATCGGGCTCCCTACTCAGTGAGAAGTCTACTTCTCCCTCTTTCCACACCCCCCCCACCCCGCCTCGAGCTAGTGTGTGCTCTCTCTCTCTCAGACGAATAAAAGCTTAAAAAAAAAAAAAAAAAAGAAAAACCTGAAGAGGCCAATTACTAGTAAGGAGATGAAATCAGTAATCAAAACTTTCTCCACAAAAAAAAGGCCAGGACCAGATGGCTTCACTGGTGAATTCTACTGAACATTTCTTTCTTTTTTTTTTAAAGATTTTATCTATTTGAGAAAGAGAGACAGCTAGAGAGGGAACACAAGCAGGGGGAGTGGGAGAGGGAGAAGCAGGCTCCCGGCTGAGCAAGGATCCCAATGCGGGGCTTGATCCCAGGACCCTGGGATCATGACCTGAGCTGAAGGCAGACGCCCAACGACTGAGCCACCCAGGCGCCCCTCTACTAAACATTTCCTAAAGAATTAATTCCAATTCTTCTCAAACTCTTCAAAAAAAAAAAAAAAGTGGGAACACTTCCAAACTCATTTTACAAAGGCAGCATTAACCTGATACAAAATTAGATAAGGACTTTAAAGGAAAATAAAATTACAGGTCAACATCCCTAATGAACATAGATGCAAAAAATCCTCAACCAAATATTAGCAAACTGAATTCAACAATACATTAGAAGGATTACACACCATGATCAAGTGGAATTTATTCTAAGGATTCAAGGATCTGGAAGTCAACCCATGTTCTACAACACATTAACAAAATGAAGGATAAAAATCATATAATCATTCCATTAGATGCAGAAAAAGCATTTCACAAATTCAACATCCTTTCATGATAAAAACTCTCAACAAACTGAGTATAGAGGGAACATGCCTCAACACAATAAAGGCCATATACAACAAACCTACAGCTAATATACTCAACAATGGAAAGCTGAAAGTTTCTCCTTTAAGATCAGGAACAAGACAAGAATGCTTACTCTTTTTTTTTTTTTTTTTTAAAGATTTTATTTATTTGACAGAGAGACACACAGAGAGAGCAGGAACACAAGCATGGGGAGTGGGAGAGGGAGAAACAGGCTTCCTGCGGAGTGGGAACCTGACGTGGGGCTCTATCCCAGGACCCTGGGATCATGACCTGAGCCGAAGGCAGACGCTTAATGACTGAGCCACCCAGGCGCCCCAAGAATGCTTACTCTTGACACTTGACACGCCTGCTTCTCCCTCTCCTGCTCCCCCTGCTTGTGTTCCCTCTTGCTGTGTCTCTGTCAAATAAATAAAATCTTTAAAAAAAAAAAAAGTGAAAAGGCAACCTGTCCAAGTGGAAGAAAGTATTTGCAAACCATGTATCTGATAAAGGGTTAATAGCCAAAATATATAAAGAACTCATATGACTGAATAGCAAAAAACAATCCAATTTGAAAAATGGGCAGAGGAACTGAACTTTTTTTTTTTTTTTTTTTAAGATTTTACTTATTTAAGTAATCTCTAACACCCAATCTGGGGCTCGAACTTAAAACTCTGAGATCAAGAGTCACATGCTCCACCGACTGAGCTAGCCAGGCGCCCCTGAACAGACATTTTTCCAAAGACAACATACAGGTACATGAAAAGGTGCTCAACCTCACTAATCATCAGGGAAACGCAAATCAAAACCACAATGAGACATGTCACACCAGTTAGGATGGTAACCATCAAAAAGAAAAGAGATAACAAGTGTTGGTGAGGTTGTGCACTGTTGGTGGGAATATAAATTGGTGCAGCCACTGTGGTTAATAGTATGGAGGTTCCTCAAAAAATTAAAAAACAGAAGTACCCTATGATCCAGAAATCCCACTTCTGGGTACTTATCCAAAGGAAATGAAAACAGGTTCTTGAAGAATTATCTGGACTGCCATGTTCACTGCAGTACTATTCACTATAGTCAAGCTCTGGAAACTTAAGTGACCATCAAAGAGGGATGGATTAGTAAAGATGACGTGGTGTATACAGTATATATACATGTATATATACATACACACCATCCACACGATGGAATATTATTGAGCCATGAGAAAGAAGGCATCCTGCTCTTTGCAACAATACTTTGAGGGCATAATGCTAAGTGAAATAAGGCAGAGAAATACAAATACTGTATGTTCTCACTTACATGGGGAATCTTAAAAGGGTGAACTCCTAGAAACAGACTAAACTGGTGGTTACCAGGAGCTGGGGAGTGGGGAAGAGGTGTTGGGCAAAGAGCACACACTTCCAGTTACAAGAGAAGTAAATTCAGAAAATCTCATGTACAGCATAGTGATTACAGTGACTAATATTGTATCATATACTTGAAAGTTGCTAGGTTCTTACCCATAAATGGTGATTATGTGACATGATGCGGGTGTTTGCTAATGCTGTGGTGGTCATCATTTTGCAACATGTAAGTCCACCACATCAACACGTTCTATACCTTAAATGCACACAATTTTATATGTCAATTTTATCTGAAAACTGGAAGGAAAAAAAAGACGTTATGAGGTGGTGTTGAAAGAGAAGATGCCAAGTTCTTGGTGGCAAAAGGACTTACGATATGGTGTGATAATGATGATGCCTAGACAACTTATTTCTTCAATGACTTTCAAAGGTATACTTCAATGAGAAACTCCTTGGAAGCCTAAGCAGTAACAAATACAAAAAAATCGCCTTCCCACTTTGTTAGAATTCAGTGACCTAGTATCACTGGCAAAACCAATTCAACCCAGTCTGTATTTGTACAGGGAAATGATCTCTGGGACCTCACTGAACAGACAGACCAGACAAACTCATCCCATGTTAGGAGCTGGGGGACCATGGGTTAGCACTTTCCGGGCATACTGGGTGGGTGGTCACCCTCAGGGCCGTTCTATGTGCACTTTTCGGTGACCATACTGGCAGTGTCATTAAAGAACTTTTCCAAGATGCTCCTACACAAAAGACGCTGGACTGTGAGGTACAGGTGTGCAAAGATGAAGACAGGGGAACAACAGCAAATGGGTTTCTTCCTCCCTTTCTGGAAGTTCTGCGGGTGCTGCACTGGAGTGCAATTATCCTATTTTTTCGCTGTGTGGTTTCTAAAGGTCACTCTGGAAAGGGACATGCAATGGGCGACCCACTGCAAGTTGTGGGATGTCCTCCACAGGAGCAGCTCCAGAACAGCCCAGCTTGGAGGCAGCACAGGTCTCCCGCCAGGGTATGTACATCCTGGCTCTGCAACTTGATGGCTATGAGACCCTGATCAAGTCACCAACCTCTCTGTGCCTCGCACTTCCTCATCTGTAAAATGTGGACAGTCATAGTACACACGCTTCATATGGATGATATAAGAATTAAGTGAGTTCATACATATAAAGGTTTAAAGTTGTACCTGGTACACAGAAAGTGCTCAGTAAATGTTACCTTCTCTTTTTATCACCATCTAAGAAGGGGTTGTGTTCATTCTCAAGAAAAAAATGTGAAAAGTAAAGACCAGAGGGGATACTGTATTATTTCTAACACCTGGGATGGAAAGACCTATGTCCTTATTTTCAGGGACAGGTCAGACGGCGAGTGTCGGGGAAGATGGCCTCCTATCTGACAGGGGGTAGCCCAGCTCTGGAGAGGAAAGGACCATAGCTGAAACTTCCAATATGGAGGCCTGGAACTCAACTGACCAAGAAGTTTTCGAATAAATATAACCTCTGACAAAAATGGGGAGGAACAAAACTCATTCTAGTGTCACGCAAAGCCTGAAAAGGAGAAATTCTAAAGAGGTGTTACTTCACTAGATGATTTTTGGTTTATATACTATGATACCAAATAAAATTATGAAAAACAAAATCGCATGGGATTACACATAAAATTTTTATTGAGAATTTTGTCGTTACAGAGAATTCATAGGCCTTCAGTTACATTATATGGGTAAGATGCTGGACAGCAAACATGGTTACCAAAAGTCATCTGTTTCTTCATGAGAAAAGCCCGTGAAACTAAATTAGGGAAAGATAAAAAACAATTTTAATTTATTAAATTCTTGTCAAGTTTATTCAGGGATCTTTATGATGTTCACATTCTTTCTCTGTGGGGTTTCTGCCCTTAAGCAATTTTACAAATTAAAAAATGCAACAGATTCTTTTTTTGAAGTCCCTAATTTTGACTGTTTCACTAATTTCTTACAGGGAGACTCAAATATCTGACCGTTTCCCTTGGCTAACACACCAGCAACTTAATGGTCTGTGTAGGAACACCATATTGAGGAAACCATACCTTTCGTCTTTGTCGCTCGATGGCACTGTGTCCACTTCTGAGGCTTCTCTGCCAACCTTTGAACTCTGATACAAAGAGGGAAAAAGAATCTTGAAATTACATTATGTATCAATTTTATTCAACACTTTGATTTCTCTAAGGACTAATTTGAGATACATATGCAACTTAAGAGTCTAAAAAAGAGGTGACTTTTCAACATGAAATTCAGCAAGCCCATCAAAATAAACTATCTGGTACCCATTCTCAACACCCACAGTGTGTGAGACTGAAGTAAAACATCGATGTTTCAGACGGTACTAATGCATTCATTATTCATGAACAGACCTTTCATTACATTTCTTTCTTGTTCTTAAAATGAGAGACATCCTAATTTTTATAAAATTTGACAAATCAAAACCTCTTCAATCTTTCCCCAAGCAAAGCGATGAAATTTTGTCAAGAGTGTCATGTATCAAAAAGACTCAGGGCTCTATCTGAATTGTGGATTTTCTATGCTTCTACCTTTTTGTCTCCAATGAGGAAGGCAGATTTGGGTCCTACAGCCTTCTAACAAACCAAAGCATCCCTCGGCAACCCCCTCCACAGAAGGCCAGTCCACAGCATCAGCACCTTATCTGCCGCCTCCTGGTCTTGATTCTGCTGAATAATTTTCATGTATTTCTCTAAAGGATTTTCACCACAAACAGATTTGTCTTTCATTTCTTCAACACTTATTTCTAATTCTTTTTCCATTTCAATCTTTAATGATTCTTCAATCATCCTCTGTGGAATAGACAGGTGCCAAAATAGGAAACATACAGATACATTAAAACAACTTGTAAGTGTTTAAAAAAGCATAGTAACATAATCCTGGTCCTTTAAGTACAACCTGCATGCCAAAGAACTGTTTCATTAATTGAAGTCATTGCTACCAAAGGGAGACAAACAGGTCATCTCAGTGAAGGAAGGAATTAATTTGCCTCAAGGGGCCTGTGCTTTAAACCAAATTAACCAGGAGTCCAAGGAACATCCATATGGAAGATGAATTTCAGTAAGACTCAGCGGGTCCGTGAAGTGGCCAGAGTAACCCATGAGCCTAGGACCAGAATCAGGACCTAGAAGGCCAAAAGAGAACCAGAGGAAGGAGGGCAGGGGAGGCCCTGGAAGCCACTGCTGACCAGCAGTCACTTCCCCAGGGTTACTCTAGTCCCTGCTAGCTGACCTTGGAAGTCTTCTTTAAACCCCATTTAAAAGGGTGCCTGGGTGGCTCAGTCGTTCAGCGTCTGCCTTCGGCACAGGTCATGATCCCCAGGGTCCTGGGATCGAGCCCCGCAGCGGGCTCCCTGCTCCACGGGAAGCCTGCTTCTCCCTCTCCCACTCCCCTTATGTTCCCTCTCTGGCTGTGTCTCTGTCAAAAAAATAAATAAAATCCTAATAAAAAGAAAAAGAACCCCATTTAAAAAGGGAAGACCTATAGCAAAGCAAAGCCCACCTCCTTTACAGCTTGTTTCCAGGACCAGATGAGAACACAAATGAGCTTGCAAAAGCTCCCCTTTGCTGCTAAACTCCTAAGGTCTATGTTCTACATAGCCTTTCTCAGGGCTCTTAAGCAAAGAAGACTGGGATGCCTACAGCAGGCTTTTAAGGCCAAACTTAGTAATACTAAAATGTGTATGGGACCTCAAAAGACCCAAAGAGCCAAAACAATCTTGAAAAAGAAGAACAAAGCTGAAGGTATCACAATGCCAGATTTCAAGATATACTACAAAGCTATAATAATCGAAACAGTATGGTACTGGCACAAAAAAAGACCCATAGATCAATGGAACAGAATGGAGAGCCCAGAAGTAAACCCATGTTTATATGGTCAATTGATCTACGACAAAGGAGGCAAGAATATACAACAGGGAAAAGACAATCTCTTCAATAAGTGGTGCTGGGAAAACTGGGCCACTTTCTTAAACAAAAATAAGCTCAAAATGGATTCAAGACCTAAATGTGCAACCTGAAACCACAGGAATCCTAGCAGAGAGCACAAGCAGTAACTTCTCTAACATCTGCCTTAGCAACATTTTTCTAGATATGTCTTCTGAGACAAGGGCAACAAAAGCAAAGAACAACAACAAAAAACAAACAAAAAAACCCAAAACCTATTGGGACTCCATCAAGATAAAAAGCTTCAGCACAGTGAAGGAAACCATCAACAAAACAAAAAAACAACATGTTGAATGGGAGAAGATATTTGCAAATGATATATGCAATGAGGGGTTAATATTCAAACATATAAAGAACTTACACAACACCAAAAAACCCAGACAATCCAATTAAAAATGGGCAGAGGACCTGAATAGAGAGTTCTCCAAAGACATTTAGATGGCCAACTGACACATGAAAAGATGCTCATCATCACTCACCATCGGGGAAATACAAATCAAAACTACAATGAGCTATCACTTCACACCTGTCAGAATGGCTAAAATCAAAAAGATAATCAACAACAAGTGTTGGCGAGGATGTGGAGAAAAAGGAACCCTGTGCACTGCTGGTGGAAATGCAAACTGGTGCAACCATTCTGGAGAACAGCATGGAGGTTCCTCAAAAAATTAAAAATAGAATTACCATATGATCCAGTAATTCCACTACTGGGTATTTACCCAAAGAACACAAAAACACTAATTTGAAAAGATACACACCCCCCTATGTTTACTGCATTATTTACAATAGCCAGGTTAGGAAGCAGCCCAAGTGTCCATCCACAGACGAATGGATAAAGAAGAGGTGGTGTATATACGCAACAGACTATTACGCAGCCATAAGAAGGATGAGCTCTTGCCATCTGTGACAACACGATGGACCTAGAGGATATTATGCTAAGTGAAATAAGTCAAAGACAAATACCACATGATTTCACTTACATGTGGAATCTAGAGAACAAAACAAATGAACAAAGAAACAACAAACCCGAAACACCCAGACTCAAATATGGAGAACAAACTGGTGGTTGCCAGGGAGGAGGTGGGTAGGGAGACAGGGGAAGAGATAAAGGGGATTAAAAGGTACAAAGTTCCAGTCATAAAATAAGTAAGTTACAGCAATTTGAAGTACTGCATAGGGAATATAGTCAATAAGACTGTAATAATGTTGTATGGTAAAAAAAACAAAAAACAAAAAACAAAACCAAAGTTATCTGTCACTCCTATGACTTCAGGACACAGTAAGGACTCATGTCCCTGAGAACAAGGTACTTACAGCAGGTGTACCAAGGGGAAAGCAGCATAGGGAATTTGCGTGTCCTTAGCATTACCTGCTCCTGATCCAATTTTTCTAGTTCTCTTCGTTCCCTTTCTAAAGCCTCTTGCCGCTCATTCTGCCTTCTTTCTTCTCTCTGCCTGCGTTCTTTCATGTGCTCTTCCCATATTTCTTCTTCTTCCTTCTGTTCTCCCATTTGTTTCTGATCTACGCCTAATGAGACAGAAAAGAAAAGGCACGTAGTTTCCAGCATCGGATTTTTCAAATATATGCATGAGTGCTTTGCAGGGGCCCTTGCCAAGACTCAGGAAGACTGCTTGGTTCTTAGAGGACTCTTGACCTGCTCCATCTTCAAGCCCCCAAACCCACTCCTAGCCCTGCGCCCTGCCTTTTACTTTGCTAAGATGAAGACAAGTCACCCTTAATACAATGACTTTAACTGCCTCTCACGACCCCCCAGTCACAGCTTCTTACGCTCTTTGCTCACCTCCGCCCTTCCCAAGGCAAACTCTGCATTTGGTTAGGAGGCTGCCCCTGGCTTTAGGACTCAGACTGAACCGTCAGTCCGTCTTCATTTACACAGCACTTTCCTAGCTCTTCCCCTTGCTCCTGTGCAGGCATCCCAGTCTCTCCTGCCCCAGAGAGGACGCGCCCCCTACCCCAGTTCTAGCCAGCTCGCTGCTGCTGCCCACCTCCTCCAGGCTGATCCCCGACCCGTCCCATACCTCCTTCTCTACGCCCGACCTCTCTCCCTGTTTCCTCACTCCCTGGTTTCTAACAGGCTTCCTGCCATCAACACATGGAGACCCCAGAGCCCTGGCTTCATACCTGAACTCATCATTCCTGTCCCTTTAATCATGCTCTTTCCATGCTATGTCCACTCGGCCACCAGGGCTTAGAGGTTCTTCTTCCTCCTGCTGCACTGAGGGTCCTTATCACCATTTACCTGGGTGGCTGCAAGCATCTAGTCAGTGTGCTTCAGGACACTCCTCTCTGCCTTCAAGCAACCCACCTTCACCCCCGTGAGCACCAGTCACTTCCTGGATCTGCTCTGCACACTCTCTGCTCTGGGGGACTCCTAACCCACAGTGGTTTAGGCTGACAATCTGCCTTTTTCTTTCCAGACTGACCTCCTCTATCACCGTAACTTTCACATTTGAAACATTCCGTCTATAGAGCAACCCGCTGTTAGCTGAGCACAGCCACATCGGCCTTGCGCCACACCCTTGCTTTCACGGCCTCCTTAACCTGACATGCTCCCTTCTTCCCCCACAACTTTACCACCTATGCAAGCCCTCACTTAAAAGCCACCTCCTCTGTGAGGTCCTTATTCCTAAAGTGACAACTGGCCATTCCAGCACCTTCTTCACACAGTGCTTTGTACCTGCCTTGTCACAACCCATAGGCATCTGTCTCCCTACCTGTGTTCCTTCCAGCTAAGGACCATGTTTTAATCGTTTGTTCCCTAAGCTTGCAACACAGGTCCCCACGCCTCACATGCTGAATTCAATCTCAATTCCACAGATGACTGTGCTGACCTTTTTCTCCTCCAGCCCTGGCCTATAACCTCAACTTTCCCCAGCAATGCTAAGAAACAACAAATTCACAGGTTCACCACGGGATTTCAAAGCTCGTTGCCGTGCCCTGTCCTAAGTCACTAGCAAAAAGTTAGCTTCACTGACGGGACAGGAGCAACAGTCTTCTCTTAATCCTGGTCAGGAAATTCTAATACCACAGGAGGCGCTGACCATATCCACAGGCAGCGATGCAGCGTCCTGCCTGCTGGGGCAAAGGAGGCTTACTCCTCGGTCTATCAGGCTCTCGCACGGAGGAGCAACCTCACAGTAAGAATGCAGTTTGGGAGCGAATTTAAACACATGAAAAGGGCTGCTTCTTCCCTGGGAGGTGTACTCTGTAGCCGAGTCTAGTGTACTCGGCAGAGGGGCATACCGAAACCGCCTTGGACATTAAGAACAAAGAAAAGAAGTCTTTCCACTGGCACAAAGGCATCAAGCCTGGACTTTTTCATTTCCCTTTGCACCCAGATGAAGAGCTGAAACAACACATGTAAGAGACTTTCTCAAGGACCAAAAGGTAACCACACTATTTAAGAGTCATTTAAAAGGCCATTTACCATAATCTATGTTACATGTCAGAAACAGAACACCTGTCTGCTCAGTTGCTTTCCCTTATTCTATTACGTTATTTTCCTTCCCTGCTCACTCAGCTCTCTGCCGAACGGCTGCCCATCAGATCTGCTCTCGGACACCACGGTCCCTATCGGTATCTATCCCACTGGAGGTCCTCAATGACAGCCTGCCGACTGTCCAATTCTCCTACTAGAAGCTCCATGAAGCAGGGGCCTGGGTTGGTACACTGCTGTATGCCCAGCCACGAGGAAAGTGCCCAGCAGAGAAAAGGTTCTTGATCAGGCCTCAGTGAAGGAGTGCTTTCCAGAATGATTTACTTTGGAATCAGCAAAAATCAACCCTCTCAAATTCTCCTGCTTCTTTCAGGGATTGCTCATATTCCCAACTGTGCCTTAAACCAAGAAACTGTTTCTAAGAGGCTTTGCGTAGCTTTTAGGGATGATGTTCTCCCAATGTTTGGAAAGGACTAATAGCTGGTTTTACTTGAAGCATTTCCTTTCAACTTTGAGGCTTCAACACTTAGGTCCAAGAAGAAAAGGAACTGGCTGTTGGCTGAGCCCTGGGGCAAAGCTCCAATGTCCCCGCTACACCTTTCTTCCACCTGGGGGAGGGAAGTGGGTCATCTGGAGGAAGCAAAGGAAAGACAAGGTGAGCCCGCAAGACAAGTGTCATGACCAGTTTTCCTGCAATGTCACCAGCTTTTCTGAAGACTGAAATATATAAAGGTTTTGCTTATCTTACTTTCTTAAGGCATGGAGGAAGCAAATAGAAAACAAAATAAGATTCAATATTACTAATTCGTTAATCTATTTTGTTTACTAAAACACAGGAAAACTTACTCGGGTAGTGATAGGACATAGGTCTGGCGGCCACAGCAGCATCCACGTGAGGCATGTCGCCGGCAGGATGGAGGCCGTGCGCTTCAAACTGCCTCGCTGCGCTCCCTGCATCTACACGAGGGGCAAAGAAGTGTCCTGTGAGTCCAGTGCAGTGTCGGGAGAACTCATGGTGAAGCACGTGCATTTTGGCCAAAGCAACTGGGCCAGCTCTTTGTCTCGAGGACTCTAGAAGTCTGCATCAGAGCCGCCTGACCATGGTATTCACTTCTCCCAGTGTTCTTCTGCTTTCAAGAATTAGATGCCTTTACAAAATCTCACTGGTTACCCAAAGGGAAAAATCAATCGAGTGAAAGAATTCACCTGGCTTGCTGATAATCACTTGAATTCTATTTGAAATCAATGATTTAACAAACTTAGTCAAAAGGATTTTGAAAGATTTACTAACCCTTATCAGTGAAATGTTCAAAACATGATGCTTTCACACTTGCCATGAAGCTCACGAAGCAAAATGGCAGGTTACGTGCAAATATGAAGACCTCCAAGGTGGAAAGAGCTGCGGGGATGACCCTCGCTACAGCTCTATCTTGTACTTAAGCAGTGGGCTCTAGGCAGGGCCACAGCTGGACACCAATCCTAGACTTGCAAGCTTGTATTTTTTTACCTCCATTTTTTAACTTAAAAAATGGGCTTTCTAAATCTTAGGCAGTCAACGGAATCAGTATACTTCAAATAAAAATAATAGCATACTCCTGTTCCGTAAAAGGGAAAAGAGAATTTTTAAAAATCACTTATTTTAAATCTGAGGCAATCCCAAACTTGGTAAACTGAGTTAAGGATTCACTTATAGGCTCAGCTCCAAGTTTGAAATTGTGAGCTATCCTCAAATGCTTAATAAATGGAACTCAGAACACACCCCTGAAAATCTTCGTGATATAAAAATGAGGCAATGTATCTGTATTTGTGCTTCTATCACAAAATAAAAATGTCCTGGGGCCCCTGGGTGTCTCAGTCGTTAAGCGTCTACCTTCGGCTCAGGTCATGGTCCCAGGGTCCTGGGATCGAGCCCCGCATCGGGCTCCCTGCTCGGCGGGAAGCCTGCTGCTCCCTCTCCCACTCCCCCTGCTTGTGTTCCCTCTCTCACTGTGTCTCTGTCAAATAAATAAAATCTTTTAAAAACAACAACAAAAAAAACAAAATAAAAATGTCCTAATCTGTAACTTCTTTGCTTTTCATGACAATATGTTTCACCAAAACTAAGCTTTCTACATTTTGAGCTTATAAAAACCAGTATTCATATTTGAACTTACATTCAAAAGATGATTCAAATTCCTCATTGTCCTTAAAAGGTAGCTTGCCTGGATTTGCAAATTCACTTTTTTCCTGAAGCTCCATTTGTCTTTGATAAAGACTGGATTGGAAGAATAAAATTCAAGAATGTCAAGTTGTAGGAATGTAAAACCCAAGAGCACAGGGCGATGAAAATCTTTTGGGACTCAAGAAAATGCTTTCGAAAAGCAGTTTTTCTTGGGCTCACGAAGAATAAGAGCTACACTGTAGGGGGCACTTTCCATGCACCAGGCATCCCTCTAAGCTGTTGGGGGGGGGGTGACTCCTCATACCACCACATGCTGTGAGATAGCTACTACCATCATTCCCACATTGTTCCTAGGAGGAGCTGACTTTTTCAAGAACCAGAAAACATTTTTGAAAAAACCGAATTCTGGGGGCGCCTGGGTGGCTCAGTCATTAAGCGTCTGCCTTTGGCTCAGGTCATGATCCCAGGGTCCTGGGATTGAGCCCTGCATCGGGCTCCCTGCTCCGTGGGAAGCCTGCTTCTCCTTCTCCCACTCCCCTTGCTTGTGTTCCCTCTCTCGCTGTGTCTCTGTCAAATAAATAAATAAAATCTTTAAAAAAAAAAAAAAGAAAAGAAAAAAACGAATTCTGCACACCCCTCAGCACACTGTCAGCAGGAGAGGTTATACTACAAGCCCCATGTGCATCAAAGGGCCCTAACTCAGCACATGCGTCTTATCTTTCTTCCTGGCTTTATTACAACAAAGAATGATATAAAAAAACCATTACAGTCTTTAGGATCGTAACAGGCACATGTGGCAGTTTTCAACTCTGTATAGCTTAATGGAATCAACATGCAGAACTAAGGGGTCAGAGTCTCCAGCCATGGGGACCAGGTACAAACAGTGGTTCCACATGTGACTCAAATCCCAGACTGGGCAACCCACTGAGCTCCTCAACACATCCACTCCCTCCTGCTTTAGCAATCATATCCCAGGACCCACTACCAATTTAGAATTTATTTCAATGATCTACAAATTGGAACCTTACAAGATCGGGAACAAGACAAGGATGTCCACTCTTGCCACTTTTATTCAACATAGTACTGGAAGTCTTAGCCACAGCAATCAGACAAGAAATAAAAGGCATCCATATTGGAAAAGAAGAAGTAAACTCTCCCTATCTGCAGATGACATGATCCTATACATAAAAAATCCTAGAGACTCCACCAAAAAACTACTAGAATAAATGGATTCAGGGAAGTCGCAGGATAGAAAATTCATACCCAGAAATCAGTTGCGTTTCTACACACTAATAATGAAGTAGCAGAAAGAGAAATTAAGAAAACAATTCCATTTACAGTTGCACCAAAAATGATACCTAGAAATAAATTTAACTAAGGAGCTACAAGACCTGTACTCTGAGAACTACAAAAACACTGATGAAAGAAACTGAAGATGACACAAATGGCAAGATATTCCATGCTCATGGATTGGAAGAAATAATATAATATTAATATGTCCCTGCTACCCAAAGCAGTTGACAGATTCAATGCAATCCCATCAAAATACCAACAGCATTTTTCACAGAACTAGAACAAGTAATACTTAAAATGTGTGTGGAACCACAAAAGACCCCCAAATAGCCAAAGCAATCTTGAGGAAGAAGAACAAAGCTGAAGTAGCACAATTCCAGATTTCAAGATATACGGCAAGGCTATAGAAATCAAAACGGTATGGTATTGGCACAATGGTACTGGCACAAAACCAGACATAAAGATCAGTGGAACAGAACTGAGAGCCAGAAAGAAACCCACACTGATATGGTCAATTAATCTACAACAAAGGAGGCAAGAATATACCCTGGGGAAAGGACAGTCTCTTCAACAAATGGTCTTGGGAAAACTGGACAGCTACATACAAAACAATGAAACTAGACCACTTCCTTACACCATACACAAGAATAAACTCAAAAGGGTTAAAGACCTAAATGTGAGACCTGAACGCACAGAAATCCTAGAAGAGAGCACAGGCAGTAATTTCTCTTACATCAGCCTTGGCAACATTTTCCTAGATAGGTCTCCTGATGCAAGAGAAACAAAACAAAATTAAACTATTGGGACTACATCAAAATAAAAAGCTTTTGCACAGCAAAAAGAAACCATCACAAAATGAAAAGGCAACCTACTGAATGGGAGAAGATATTTGTAAATGATATATCCCGTAAGAGGTTAAAATCTAAAATATGCAAAGAATTTATACAACTCAACACCAATAATACAAATAATCTGATTAAATGGCCAGAGGGGGGTACCTGGGTGGCTCAGTCGGTTAAGCGTCTGCCTTCAGCTCAGGTCATGATCCCAGGGTCCTGGGATTGAGCCCCACATCGGGCTCCCTGCTTCCATGGGAAGCCTGCTTCTCCCTCTCCCTCTGCTGTTCCCCCTGCTTGTGCTCTCTCTCTTACTATCTCTCTCTGTCAAATAAATACAATCTTTAAAAAAATTAATAAAATGGCCAGAGAACCTGAATAGACATTTTTCCAAAGACCTACAGATGACCAAAAGACACATGAAAAGAGGCTCAACATCACTCATAAGGGAAATGCAAATTAAAGCCACAATGAGGTATCACCTGACACCTGTCAGAATGGCTATAACCAAAAAGACAAGAAGCAACAAGTGTTGGCGAGGATGTGGAGAAGGAACCTTCGTGCACTACTGGGGGGAATGCAAACTGGTGCAGCCAGTGTGGACAGTATGGCGGTTCCTCAAAAAATTAAAAACAGAAATACCGTATGATCCAGTAATTTCACTACTGGGTATTTATGCAAAGAAAATGAAAACAGGGCGCCTGGGTGGCTCAGTTGGTTAAGCGACTGCCTTCGGCTCAGGTCATGATCCTGGAGTCCCGGGATCGAGTCCCACATCGGGCTCCCGCTGAGCAGGGAGTCTGCTTCTCCCTCTGAACCTCTTCCCTCTCATGCTCTCTCTCATTCTCTCTCTCTCAAATAAATAAAATCTTTAAAAAAAAAAATGAAAACACTAATTTAAAAAAAGATACATGCACCCTTATGTTTACAGCAGCATTATTTAAAATAGCCTAGATATGGAAGCAACCCAAATGCCCATCAATTGGTAAATGGATAAAGAAAATGTGGCGCATATACATCTATACATAACGGGATATTACTCAGCCATAAAAAAGGATGAGATTTTTGCCACTTGCAACAACAGGGAGGGACCTAGAGAGTATTATGCTAAATGAAATAAATCAGACTGAGAAAGACAAATACCATGTAATTTCATTCACATGTGGAGTCTAAAAAACAAATGAACAAACAGAGGCCCCTGGATGGCTCAGTCAAGTTTCCAACTCTTGATTTCGGCTCAGGCCATGATCTCACAGTTGTGAGATGGAGGCCTGTGTCAGGCTCCGCACTCAGCGCAGAGTCTGCTTGGGATTCTCTCGCCCTCTGCCCCTCCCCCACTCGTGTGCACTGTCTCTGAAATAAATAAAATCTTAAAACAACAACAAATGAATAAACAAAGAAAAAGCAGAATCAGACCTATCAATACAAAAAGAACAAAGTGATGGTGGCCAGAGGGAAGGGGGCCGAGGGATGAGCAAAATGGGTAAAGGGGAGGGGGAGGTATAGGTTTCCACTTATGAAACGAATAAGCCATGGGAATAAAAGGTACAGCATAGGGACTACAGTCAATGGCTGTACGATAGGGCTGTACGGTGACAGATGGGGGCTACAGTTGTGGGGAGCACAGCATGACGTATGGAGTCAAATCACTACGCTGTGTACATGAAACTAATCTAACATCGTGTATCAACTATACTCAAGTACAAAAAAAAGCTGGAACCTGTTTATATTTAAATGCCAAAATATTTTTATATGACTTTTTAGTGATGTGTGAAATTGTCTTAAGCTCAAACTGAATTTGTTTTCCCAGATTTTGGACAATTTGTTTTACCTTCGTTAACCGAGTCTATTTTTGAAGTACGAAGATGTTTACTGATACCACAGTGTAGATTCTACACACCAAGTTTAGCAAAGAAGTAGAAACTACTTTGCTAAAAGGAATGTTCCTCCCCACCCCCGCTCCAGGTAATTTAGATGATTCTCAAAGATCACACATCATCTTACCATCTGATTACCAACTCTATACTGCCACAGAAACCCCAAACGAGTCCGGGCTGAGACCCCATGCAGCTCAGCGGACTGGGCTGAGGCCAAGCGGAAGGCGGTGTTACCTGGCCTGCTCTGGAGAGCTGGGCAGCGGGTGGACGGAAGGGCTGTGCCTGGACTCAGCGGGTGAAGGCCGGGGTGTTCTGTCGGGACAAGGACTGGGGCCAGCAGCGTGGGATCGGTCCAGACCTAAGGGGCAGAAGGCCTGACTATTAAAAATGGCAAGGAGAAGACAGCAACATGGTTTCTAAACAGTTCTATTACTCTGACAATGAATTCTATTATCCTTGTAAACAGCTGAGTATGATGCATAAATGATCTACAAAACGATTCAAGCCCCTCAATGAAACTGCAGTGGTAACAATCAAACATGTACAACTGACCAGCAGTAAAGGGAAAACCACTGTCACTCTGCACCTGTCTGCGTGCCTAGGAAGTTGCTAGAACAGGACACTACCCCACCCCCTCAACATGGGGGAGATGCCACGGTTAACCGGGAAGGGCAGATCGAGAGAGAGGACCCAAGTGCCTGGGCTCAGGCGTTTCCGGGCTCAGTTCCCGCTCCTTCCTGCTGTCCAGGGCTGCACTCTTACTCGGGGAAGAGGCCCTCCCAGGACCAGACCCTTCCAAATCCAGAGCGTCCTGCAACCCTCTCGGCAGGAGCTCACCTTCCAGATACATTTCACTGTCAAAGCTCCTTTTTGCTTTGGGAACAGGAGTGGAGGAGAGGCGTCTGGAGGTGGTGCTCCTGCGTGGCCGCGAGGCGCTGCTCTTGTCCTCTTCGGGGGTGCCCACCGGAGGCTCAGAGACAACTCTGTCCTCGGCACAAGTGCGTCTTTGGGGCGAACTCGAAGTGATGCTTTTGAGTGTCCCTAGCAAGTGCAGGGGTGGCTGGCTGTTGGCTGCTAAGGGGCGTTTAGCGGGGAGCTGACTAACTCTTCCACGGTAATTTTGGAAAGCTTTCTCCAAACGTTCGGCCTCTTGCTCTAGCTCTCTCACCCTTGCTTTGGTATTGGCTACAAACTCAAGGTCAGAATCGGGGGAACTACTCTCCGTGCTTGCGTTTGGATAATTTATGATCCTTGGTATAACCGCCATCAGCCTTTCCTGGTCGAGAGGATTTTTCAAGAAACCCCCGCTTATATCCCCATTAAGCTCCACCGTCTTGCCGCTCAGCAGTCCATTGGTGGAACCATCGATCAGAGACTGCTTCAGGTTGTGGTACACTTCGTTCTCGAGCGCTGCAGGTTACAGGAAGACCACGTGAGAAATGACGGAAAAGGTGGAGAAGAGAGTTAAAATAGATCGAGATCACGATTTTTCAAAAATAAAAGGAAGTATTAAGGCCAAACTTGCACATTAGTTTTTGAAGCTGCAGTCATGACGGTAATTATTAACATTTATCAAGAGGTTATATGTACCTTTCATAACGCATATTATTTCACAATCCATTATGCACAGTTGTACAATCTAAAAAGCTCTGAAAACCGAAAATACATTCCTAATTTATTTGGTGGCAAAGCCCAACCAGACCTCAACTCACTTGGTTGAAAAGTTTGACCCGAACCAATGGAAACCCATTTACAATCTTTACTTATTCCACCTAGCATGAATATTCATCCATTTGATTACAAAAAAATTAATTTGTTTCACTGCAGGATGCTGCCCAGAACCTCCAGGGCTGTGGCAAAATCCACAAACCACAGCACAGGGCCTGAGTTTCCGATAAGGGAAGAAGACACGCAGTCACAACACTGTGGGCTAAGAACGCGCACTGCTCCCATTTTACAGATGGGGGGCTGAGATTACTGAGGCTGGCTCACGCAGTGAGCACGATGGGAGAGCCACTGGCATGTCCTAGGGCAAAGTCAGTACCTGGGACCACTACCTCACCTGATGGCGCTGCCGGACAGAGGCTCGCCATGTGCAAAGCAGGGGTTCAAAAGGTTCCACCTTCTTGAACTACTGTTCATGATATGAGGTCACCAGAATGTCAGCTGTGCGCAGTCTGGCAAACAGATTTATTTAGAGAAAGTGAAGAGCAAACAAGAGTAGAAATGAGTAAAGGGAAAAGTCGTGTGGGGAGATTCGAACAAGGGCCTGACCAGGGCAGAGTATAACTGGGCCTGAGGAGGGTTCAGAACCAAGAAGTGAGAAAGCATGTCAACTGCTAACATGGAGGAACTTGCTTTGCGCCTACAGGCAGCTAAAGAAGGTATGGAACCTTCAGCGTCCTTGTTATGAAGTAGGAAGGGGCAGACGTCGGCTTGGCAATGAAAACAGAGTACAAAAACGACAGCAGAAACCACCTCCTCGTGTTGTGTGTGTCCCAGGCACCGTACCGCCATCTGTCTTGCTTCAACTTCATCCATGTGGCCCAGCGCCACTCCTAGCCCTATTACAGTGCGGACCCTGAGGCCCAAGGAAGTTCAACGGAGCGTGCCCAAGGCAAACAACGAACTTCACAACTGGGACCCGAAACAAAGAGTGTTTCCAGACTCCGCTAGCAGCGGGGCTCATTTTGCTGGCCGCCCTGCTTCTCGCACACATGTACACGTCTGTCCAGGGACATGTAAAACCACTGAACGGTCAACCGGTCTTAGCGGCGGGATAACAAACAAAAAAGCAAAGCCTAGGTTCCGGATGAATTTGGGGACTTCTGTGTCACTACCACACCTCTCCTGAGCCATGGGTCATCTGTGAAAGCAAGTCACTTTAGAGGATGACCTGGTGGGTAGTTCTGAAATAGAAGTTATACTTCTCAGGTGACACATATTTCTATAGCTCCTCCCCTACTATGAGAATTACTAAAACTCACTGAGTAATCATTACATTTTCACAATCTCACACACACACACACACACACACACACACACACACACACACACACAC